ATTATTGTTGGATGTACCGGTATGGTACTCGTAAATGGAGATGTTTAGATTTCTTTTTTGGGAGTGGGGTTGGGATGTGATTGGGGGTTTGTAGAAACGTGGGTTTCTCTGGATTGTTTGGATGTTGTTTGAAGAATCTCTTTTAATTTTCTCGAAGTTTTTAGTTAATTGACTTTTTCGGAAATGGGATGGAGATTTCTGTTTTAGTTTTATATTTATTAGCGTGTGTTGAGTTGGATAAAGTAGATGTTCCATTTACTTGGGACAATGAATTTAATTGAAATCAAAATCGCTATTCTATACTTTTCACTTGATTGAATTTTTTGATTGCTCGAAAATACCAGTATAAATTCATGTCTAGAAAGAAAGTTACACAAATAGAAAAGGTTTCTCCGTACCCCGTACCTTTTTTTGTCGATCGGGAGAGATCCGAGAAGAGGGTTGGGATAAGTACTGTAAGATGGAGAGAGAAGCTGGGTTGATGCTGGCAGTGCGGATGGGATGGGATGAACTCTTTTTTTAGGGCTGTGTTGATCGAGGACATGGAGATGGCCTGTCGCGTGTTAGGAATGTGGTGTCTTAAATCCGGAGAATATTGTTAATAATTGTTTTTTTATTGTTCTCGTTGATGATCGTGAGAAGTTCTAAAGAGCTCGGTGAGATTTTTACATCGCAATTGTATGGTGGTGTTCTTTGCAGTGGCACAGCAGAGTAATTGCTGGAAATGGATTGGTGCATTAAAGGACCCCGCATTTTAAACTGTACTCGGTACTTGTACAGGGTTGCTACCTCCAAATAGCGTCGTGCTTCAAGATGTCGTCTGGAAAGGTGTAATTTGGGACTCCAACCAACATACACCATACATACCTTTCCTAGATACGAATACCTACACTACATACCAATTCAACACCTTGTATCCTCTCCTTCCTGCATTGTTTCCTTTCATTGATACCCTGATGTCCTATCGCGCAAAACTCCCCATCTAGTACCTCAAGAACCCTGAAACAACATCTCAAATCCAGAGCTTCAACACCATGGAATCGCAAATTGCCCCCATCCCAACCCCGCACATGAGCGGTCCCGTCCTCACGCCCTTCACAGACACACAATGGACAACCCTACTCTCAATATTGGATACCGTGATCCCCTCAATTCAACCCTCGTCCCTGGCAACGAGTTCCAGTCTCAGCCTTGCGCTCCCGGAAGAGCAATACAACGCCACCGTCTCGGAATTGCAGAAAACCGTCCCGGGAGAGATCGCTAGTGAAAGATTCGATGAATATATGAATGAGAAAGCCTCAGATGTCGAAGCCTTTCAGGATATGATCAAACGCGCCTTTGGAACCCTGATTCCGGAAAAGAATAGGAGGGGATTGGCATTCATATTATCGACTTTGGAGTAAGCAATCGGCCCTCTATCTCTATCTCATAGGCAAATGGAAGAGTATACTAACATTTTGGAAAATCATGTAGTACGAGATTAGGTTGTATGCTACTTACAGGCTATACGACTTCCTTCCACGAACAACCCGTTCACATCCGCGAAGCGATTCTGGACAGCTGGCGAACGAGTTACTTACCTACCCTTAACGTTATACATAAATCGATGACAATGCTGGCGAAGAACATATATCTGAAGAGTAGTCCGCTTTATCGGTCGCTTTCTGGGGTTCCGGTTGTACCTGTGTTAGTTGAATTCTCGTTATGTTATATTTCTGGTTCAAAATGTCTTCTGTCGCATGGTTCGAGAATTAGGATGACTTGGGATCAGGTTGGATTTCTGGCTTTCTTCAGGATTTCCGTGTTGGAAAGAAAGGTCACGTCTTTTCTGAGAATGCTATCAAGGCTTTTTCTTCGTATGATACATGTGTGTACTCACCAAGTGGTGATATCTCTATTTAATCGCTTCACAATATACAATTCTGCTTCTAACCTATTTTGACAGTAATTACAAACCAGGAACAGGGTATGAATATGATTTTCTACAATTCGATATTGGTGCCGACCCTGAAATCATCGAAACGGACATTGTCATAGTAGGATCTGGCTGCGGGGGAGCAGTATGTGCGAAAAACCTTTCAGAAGCAGGTCATCGCGTTCTCGTCCTCGAAAAAGGCTACTACTTCTCCCCCAAGCAACTACCTCTTTCCGAAGAAACTGGCAACTCATACATCTTCGAAAGTGGTGGCGCTATTTCAACAGATGATGGTTCTGTGGCCGTTGCTGCTGGTAGTATCTGGGGAGGAGGAGGAACCGTGAACTGGTCCGCGAGTTTACAGCCACAGGACTTTGTGAGGAGAGAATGGGCCCAAGATAGGGGACTGGAATTCTTCGAAACGATGGAATTTCAGGGCTGTCTTGACCGAGTTTGTGAAAGGATGGGTGTTTCGACGGACCATATTCGACATAACCATGCGAATAGGGTTCTTCTGGAAGGCAGTAGGAAACTTGGATATACTGCTAAAGCTGTTCCCCAGAATACGGGAGGCAAAGAGCATTATTGTGGATATTGCACATTTGGATGTGGTTCAGATGAGAAAATGGGACCAGTAGCATCCTTTTTACCAGATGCTGCTCAAGCTGGAGCCAAATTTGTGGAAGGTTTTAAGGTTGGTCATGTTATTTTTGATGAGGAGAATCCTAATAAAGCGATTGGTGTAAGCGGATCTTGGACCTCGAGGGATAACTGGGGAGGGGTTGACGGATTGCTTTCTGAACGAACGACACGAGAAGTCATTGTGAAAGCAAAGAAGGTTATCTTGTCCTGCGGAAGTCTGTGGAGTCCAATTATCTTACAAAACAGTGGGCTCACGGTATGGGAAAATAAAACTTCCACACTTCTCTATCTCTAGCTAACAATTACCCTTTAGAATCCTCAAATTGGACGGAATCTCTATCTACACCCTGTCAACCTCCTGGCCGCAATCTACGACGAAGAAACTCGGCCTTGGGAAGGTAAACATTCTCTTTCTCTTTACTATATCCGAATATTCCATACTCAATTTCTTTCCAAACACTAACCTCTTCTTTGTCTAGGCGGAATCCTAACCTCAGTATGCAACACATTCGAAAATCTCTCTTCCACAGGCTATGGTGCAAAACTGGAAACAACAGTCATGCTCCCCTCCATCTTCCTCTCAACCTTAACCTCTGCCTCAGCCCTTGAATTCAAAATCAACGCTCTGAAACTCCGTCACATGGCGGGATTCATTTCTCTTGCACGCGACAGAGATACGGGTATAATATACAAAAATCCCGAGACTGGCAAGCCTGCGATCAAATACACGCCTAGTGCTTTTGACAGGGCACATATCTTAGAGGGCTTAATTGGCGCTGCAAAGATTGCTTATGTTACGGGCGCACTGGAGATCCATCCTTGCTTACAGGGACTTTCTCCTTTCATTCGCTCTTCCAATTCGTCCTCCGAGTCCAAGACGTCTCCTGGCCCTGATATCGATCCCGGTATCACAGATCCCCACTTCGTCGCCTGGCTCGAGGAAGTCCGTCGCGTAGGCAATAAACCACTCACGGGCCTCTTCTCCAGTGCGCACCAGATGGGCTCGTGTCGCATGAGTCGCAGTGAGAGCGAGGGGGTGGTGGATGGCGTGGGTCGAGTGTGGGGCAGGCAGGATCTGTATGTGGCTGATGCGAGTGTTTTCCCGTCGGCGAGTGGGGTGAATCCGATGGTTACTAATATGGCCATCTCGGATTGGATCTCGAGGGGGATTGTGGGGGAGTTGAGGAGGGAGGGGTAAATCCTTTTTTTTTGGGTGTTAGAAAAAAGAAGGGTTGAGAGTGAGGCTGCAGGAGGGGTAATAGTAACGGAATTTTGTGAGGAAGTGAAGAGTGGGGTTTGGCGGTTACTTTACCGTTTAGGTGGGCCGTGGGAGGAGAACTTGTAAGGGTGGGTGTACTGTACGTTTGGAGTATTTTTTCGGAACGAATGGGAGTCTATGGATTGGGTGATTTTGAAATAGTTCAAGTTGCGTGGGTGTATGTTTTGGATCCAGTCCAGAGAAAATAAGAAAGGTAGGTTGGGAATTGGTTTCTAGGATGGATTGAGATGAGGGGTTGTTGGGGGGAATGAAGTGGTTGGTGAAGGTAGTTGGCTTGATGAATATGTGGATTATTGTAGGAGGGGAGAGTTGGGAGGTGTGGGTTGGAAGGTGAGAATTGAGTGGTTGGTTGGATTATAAGGATGAGATTGTGATTTAGCTTGTAGTTTATAGTACTTATATATACATCTCTCTCTCTCTAGTAGATGAGGTGATGAGTTCATCTTTTTAAAGACTTGACTTACAAATTATTTCCTTGCTTTCTACAAATATCATCTTACAGTAATCTTGCTGTAACGTAGGCTGAATCTAATACTGATATATTTTCCAAACCTTGTCCTAGCTTGGACTTTTGTAAGTAACTAAGTATACATATACTGGGGTGATGAACGAGGACTGTTCTGTGTCTCGCGTTTTTATGTAGAGAACTTGTACTGTAGTTCTTTTGTTCTTGTGGGTTGGTAAAATTTATAGTATACTTAGGTTAGTCTTTGTCGTGGATAGTGGATGGTAGATAGTGGATAGTGGATGGTAGATAGTGGATAGTGGTTTTACTCTTTTTCTTGTAGTTGTGCTTCATCTGAATCTTTATCTGTTGTTGAATGTTTTGTTACTATCAAGGTTTATCTTACTATCGAGATATACTCTTCCATTTGTGCCTATAACCTTTACACTTTTTTATCCCTTGCAAAGCGGGGAATTGGGAGGAAATAGTGGCTTGGAATATGGTATGCTATGGTATATCCTAGATGTATAACCGGGTTTCTGTAATATCAAGGACGGAGTGATAGCTATACTCATCTCTGTCTGGTGATGTACAGTGTACTTGGGATTGTGAGGCGTGGTGGGAAATGGTGTGGGGGGGG